ACGCGAGCGACTCCTGCTACGGCTCGTCCTCCTGCTGCTGCTGATCTAACAGCAGCAGTTGGCACAGCGATAGGCGCCAACATGACAGCCACCACATCGGCTCACCAGCAGGAGCCACGCCCCGTCAAGTGTGAGGCAGCGGTTCAACTCTTCAAGCAGCCCCCTTTTCATCACACACCCTCATTATCACACACCCAATCACACCCCGTGGGTGTTCGGACGTGCTATCACACCCCCACAGAATGTTAATAAAGCCCAACACGTTATCACCGGGGTGTGTTATCTTGCGTCGTCTACGGCATATCTATCTCCCATCTATCTAGAAGAGATGCAAAGCCCCGGGCAAAACGGATCACGCCACCTGGCACATATCGCTCCCACCCCCACCTGCGGCTACCTCTTGAACGTGTCAGTTGTTCGTGTGTCTGGTACACAACCCTGCGCCATGGTCTGCTCGATATTGATTGTCGAGAGGATCTTATCAGGTAAAAGGGCTATTTTTGTTGCAGTCGTATTTTTTCATGAAGTTGGGCCTCACGAACATCGTGTCCCACTGAGCATCTGATTTCCACACTTTTCTGTTTTGGCAGCGCGACGGATGGGTTGTTTGGGTGCAGATCTACAGTAAGCGTCTGGTTCAGACAAGGGAGGAGTGCGACCGACTCGACAGGATAGCCTTTCAGCTCCCTGCCGGATGGATTATCAAGCTCATTACGACAAGATTGGGCAGTATCACCGCTCAGCATCGGAGAGAGTACGCACACATTATTGAAGAGAGCAAGCGCACAGTATCGGAGAGAGCAAGCACATGGGCTGTTTGGCACATCAAAAAGCTTCACGATTAGATTCCTCGACTGCCGTTAGTCCTCGTGTTGTTGTTGGCTCTTTACTGTTTCTGCGTGTACGATTGTGTTCACCCTTGCTCCTCTTTTCCGGAAAATATACTGATTTTTGTGTTCAGACCTCAGATGTGGTTGCTTGGCTCTACTAGATGAAAACAGGGCAGGGTTAGCTTCATTCGACAATGTCAGATATTGAAGGGGGCGGTTTGGCCAAAAGCGGCAAAGCTTCGACCGTTTCCACTCGTCGTTTCTCCACCCTTGAGCTACAGCAGGCAATTGAAAATCTCTTGTTGTGGCCGAGGCTCTGGTTCTTACAATAGTAGTCCCCAGGGTTATGCAACGAATGGCCGCTATGTAGGTTTTTGTGTAGGAGTTCTTCACCGAACTCACAAAGGTGCTCAAGTTCCTAGATTTTGAGCTTCTTTAGGCTATATAGTCTATGTCAATTTCACACAAAGGTGCTCATGTTCTTGAGTGCGGGCGCATTGAACAGTCAATGAAGTACATGCCAGCCTCCGCGGCATCGTTCGAGACGGAGCATGCATGGGTGAGCACTACCATACATACCACGAAGTGCTGTTTTAGAACGTTGTCGCCTAGAGGAAAATTGTTAGTTAAAAAAAAAATCTGAGGATATGATGAATACCGTGGTGGGGCAGTCATACGCGGTACGCCACAGTGCTGTTCTCAACATGACATATGTCCTTGAAATACCATTTCCTTAGGAAAAGAAATTAAACCAACCTGGCTGGCTGATGTCTGTCGGGTGTCGAGTCATGATTCAGCCAAAAACTATTTCGAAATGAAAGCACGTGGGCAAAAGGAACTACAATAATGTAGCCTTGATTTCATTTGTTCTTGCTCGCAATCACCACAGATCCCCCCACCCCCCCGCGGCAACGACGTTGTAAAACAAGCCGCCCCCC